TATATATATATATATATATTTTTTTTTTTTTAACAAAAAGAATACAAAAGTTACCAGTTGTTCTACAGAATTCATTGAGAAAAAGGGTGAGATGTATAGGTGGTTTGGTCTAGAAACTATTTTAACTAATTTTAAACCAAGGCATACCTTAAAAATTGAAGAGAAATTAAGAGAATGAACAATTACTTTAAATTGTAAAACATTGGAATAACTTTGATCATTTCAAACTCATATATTTGTAACAGCTTCACTGAAAGAATAATGAATTGAGTGGAAAGCATTTTAAATAATAATAGTGTTGGGAAGTTTTTTGGAAAATGGTAAATTTCATCTACTATTGGTGCAGTATAAACTGAAAAAAATTTACATAAGCAATATGTCAATGTACATCAAAAATATTGATATTTTCCTACCCTTTTGGGTGACAGAGTTAGTTCTAAGAATCCATAATAAGAAAATAAATAATAATGTTCACCGTGATTTATGAACAAGGTTGTTCTTTGCAGGACTATTTATGAAGGCAAAAATTCTGCAAAAGAAGTAAATAAGTAACAACATAAAATTAGCTCAATGAATTATTTTATGTCATATAAAGATACTTAGTTTCAGATGTAATATTATATATTTATTAATCCTGAAATTTTCCACGTGTTAAAAGTATGTAACTATATATGTATATTTGCATAATAGCAATTTTGAGAATTTCAATTTTTTATTTTCAGTGTTCATGAAATTTCTACTAGTAATATGCATTTTATTCTAAAAATATAAAACATTCTTTGTGAAAACAAAAATAAAATTTTTCCTTTTTTCGTGAGTAGTTATCTGTAGTCTTTTGAAGTATACTGAAAAAAGTAACATATATGTTTGAATCAACAAAAAAACAATTGTATCAATAAATATATCATTTTCATGTCCTTTAGAATAGTACAGTATATTTTAAAAACTGTACTCTGTCAGGAAAAATCTGATTGCCTAATTTATGGTAAATAAGTAAAGAAATACATTAGGATGTTCAAATTCAGAAAATCACATTTTTGATAATTCCTTTTGAACAAGACCAAAGTAGTGATTCATACAAGTTTTATTAGATGAATAAGACTTTATGAGAGATGTAGTTCTACTCAAACATAGTCAACCCTATAGCACAGAGAGATATAAATTTTAAAGTGCTATTAAAATAAGGCAATGACACTTTCAGTCACAAAATAAAAATGTAAAAGTATTTTGATGTGTTCTACTGAGATTACTATATTATTGTTGATTAAAAGTTGCTAAATCTTGAAAAACAGTGTACTGTAAAACATTTAAAATATTTTATGCACTTTGCCTTGAGAAGTCATATAATATATTCATTAGGACCTCATTCTAGAATAGCATCTACAGTTTACACAACATGTGAAAAAAAATTGGAAGAAATCTTATATTGTAAGCATATTAGTTTTTAAATAAAATTGATTCATGTCCCTGTCTCCTAGTTTACAATTGTTAGTAAAGGAAGGAAGAATTCCAGTGACTGATTCCTTCATCCTGTGAAACAAGACAGGTTAGCAATAGATTAAATGCAGAACTAATGAATTCAATTCTGTAGTGGTTTCTATATTCATCACTGGATTCCAACTCTACTGAACATGGAAATATGACAACAAATTAAGAAATTGAAAGGAATGACAAACCACAATGTCTTAATTTACCAACAAGGACATCGATCCACAGAGTTTAACAAAGTAAATAACATTATGTATTAAGAACATATAGAGGTTTAAGAATGAGAGTAAAAGTTTAGCTCTTAAATCTGTAGTGTTGTTCCCGTAAGAAAAATCAACTGATATTATTTAACCTTGATAAGTTTCTCAGTATTCCTTAGTCTCAATTTTCACACTTATAAGATAAGAAAATTGAACCAAATTGACTGTGAAGACATCAATTATCAGTAGTTTCACCTCTGATAAAAATTATTTTAGAAGAAAAACAGAAAAATGAATTCATATATATATCTTAAATAAAATAGTACTTTTCTAATTAAAACAATTTTTATACTTACTGTGATTATTAAATGAAATGAACAATAAAAATATATTAAATTCATACTTGTCATAAATTCTAGTCTTATTTTATTGCACATATGGAAATATCTGATAATATGGTTTAGGAAAAAATGAAAAATTAATAACACTACCTGTAATCAGAATGATTTTGTGATATGTACATCTAACTTCTTTTATCTGAGAGAATCTTGTTTGAGGAAGTATAAGAATGAACATTTACTGATGCAATTGAAACCTTTTTTGATCATAGCCTGGAAGTGAAACCATAGCCCTGAGCAAATATTATTAATTCTCATCATCGTCTGGAGTGTCCTTTAACTATGGCTCCTGAGATCAGCTGTAATGAGAGTCCAAGCAATTGAAGAAGTTCACTTGAGCACAAATACATACAGTAGAACCTTTCTGAGAAGAATTTATGCCTAAGAAATGTTCCCCAAAGGCATTAAGATGTTTAGATCAGGCATAAATTTCCATTCATGTTTTAAATGCCTACTGAGAAATTTACTGCTGTAATTGAATAGTATGCCTTTTGAATTGGATATGTGCATTTCTAGAGAGTTTTATTTCTCTAAAATAATTTTATCATAAAATAATTATGTTTAGAATTTTTGGAAGCTCATTATAGGTTTATTTTTAATAGAGCTGTGTGTCTGTTCTTTGACTCCAGTTTTGTAGCAGATCTCTCCATTTGGGTGGTGAAGGCTCCATGTTTTCCTGGGTTTAGTTGCTCATCAGAGCACTACCACACTGTTTTTCTTAGACTACAAGGATCAGCTATTTGAAAGGGATAGATTAGAAATATTTTATAATATATCTAAGAAGGAAGATTCTAAATGTAAATGTTCTAATGTAATTGATGCTTTGAGAGGAAAGATAAAGAATCAGAAGAGAGTTTAATGGGTAGGCCAGGAGGATGCTATTGGGAAACCAGGTTTAGTTTACCTAAATTCTATTCATTGAAATCAATTCAAATATTTTCTTTCTGATCTTTACATAATGACCTCAATGCATAGAAAAACAAACATGGCTGGAAGCGTGAATTTGGATGGATACTAAGAAAAATACCCTTAGTATTTTTCTTTTGAAACAGCCAGCATTTTTCTTCAGTCTGGCCTATTTCTATCAAGAACAGATAGTTCAGTTTAACTCTTCCACTCAGCAGTTCCCCATTCTATACTTATTATTTCTTTAGTGAAATGGCTTTAAATTTTGTTTTTGAAATGGCTTCATACTGATTGGGCTTCTTTCCTTCTGTCTACATGTGTTAATGGCTCAATTAAATAAGAATAGAACTGTTTAGTAGTTTAATGCTCTCTCTCTCTCTCTCTCTCTCTCTCTCTCTCTCTCTCTCACACACACACACACACACACACACATAAATACACCTTGAGTTGAACAAACCCCTACTCCACTAGATTTCACCAGGACTGCAATACATTTGTCATATGCTTAGGAGAACACGTATGATGTTCTGCACACCTAAGAATTTTTCCACACTCCAGAAAAAAATTAATTTTACTAACCCCAAGCCTTCTCCTAACCTTGGAAGTTTCCCCATCCCCAGTCCTTTCTTCAAATTTTTCACTCCCCAACTTTCTCAAAACGCTTACCTCCCTGAATATTTATTTTTAATGCAAATCATTAGTAAGATGGACCAAGATATAATTAAAAGTGAAAGTGGTGAAAACACACCATCTCTGCTTCCACTGGGGGGGAAAAAAGACTAAACAATAATTTTTAATGTCTTGCAAATTTCAAATAGGAAAACAATGCATAAAATTGTGGAGAATATTGATGAAAAATGTGTTAACCCTGATAAAAGTCACCAAAACAGGTCTGTGCGAGGAAGTGTTCTTTCATTTTCGTCCCACACAGAAGCAAGTAGAACTGGGTTTCTTTAAGCTCCCAGTTTGAGGAATCTGGCTATTGGGAAAAACATGGGAGCATCATGCTCGCTCGCTCTCTGACCCAGGCAAGTAGCTGCTGGAAGAGGCACTGCTGGGTACCTGCAGATAACAACTGCAGAGAGCTTTAGAGACCGAGGTTCCGACCCCTGCTCTCAATATGCAACTGGTTATTTACTTGTTCGCGTTTAAAATTCATCCGATCTAATGTGGAAACTTTGTGAGTGTGTGCGTGTGTGCGTGTGCCTGTGTGTGTGTATGCGCGTGCACGCGCGCGCATGTGCGCGTGTCTGCCTAGCAGTGGGTTAGGAGCACTTTCCAGTTGGGTTTTTTTTCTCTGCCCCCTTCCTCCTTTTCTGGATCTCGCTGAAAGCTTTCGGGTCTGAAATCAAAGACATAAGTATGCATTGTGTTTTCATCTTGCAGGCTTAAATAACATTCAAGAAATATTATCAGAGAAACCTAACTGCCACTGACCAAACTGACAAAAATTCTATACCAAGTTTTCAAAAGAAAAGTATGTGCCTAAATCACATATCTTGCAACAAATATTCCATATCCAATTATGATATTATGTAATATATATGTTCCGAATAGCCCCTTTCAACATGCCAGGAAAAAAAGAAAGCTTCAAAGACATCAAATGGCATAAAACGCTGTACCGCAGAGAAAGCAGAAATGCATTTAAAGCACCGATGAAAATGGCGTGCGGAATAATTACCTCAAATTGCTGTTCGCTTGACACCCTGACACTAATTTTATTCAAACCACTGGGAAATAAATGTTTTAAAAGCACTGCTTTCCCTAATGCCTGACTAGCGGGGGGCTCTGAGGTCGTGAAGGAAAGGAAAGGGTAAAGTTTCCAGCCCTCAAGAAGAATTAAATAATCCATTTAAAATAAGCGTCTATGTAGATCGACAGCCTTTAATGCCCACATTTTTAACGCTTGCCCTGTACGTGGATTGATTTTTTTTTTTTTTTCTTCAGCATTCCCTCACCAGATGGATTTTTGCTACTGCGGATCAGCAGAGGGTGTCAGATCTTTCAGAGTGCACCAGGCTGCAACGAGCCGAGCTTCTTAGCAACCCCCCTCCACCCATTCTCGCGCTCTCTCCCTCCCTTAGACAACCCCCTCCACACGTAATTCCGAAAGAGCAGAAGAAAGAGAAGGAGAGCAAGAAAAGAAGAGCTAGTAAGCCGGAGCGGCAGCACAGAAAAGAGGCTGAAGAGAAGGAAAGGAAGAGGATGGACAACCACAAAACGCAGCGATTGCGGAAATTTTCCAGCGCCATTGGTTGGGCAGCGTGAGTCCTTCGGGCGGGCGTGATTTCAGCACCGGGGGGACTGGACAGCACCTCGGGGGGACTTCTGGGCAACCTGCAACAGCAGCGAGAACTCCACCGGCAGCCTCAACCACAGAAGCCGCTGAAAACCCTGCTTTGTATCAGAGAGGCAAGGTCAGTCCGACGCACAGCCATGCACGGGCAGTGCGCCTGTACTACGCTGCAAACCTGCTTGTTTCTCTAACACGCACTTGCTCGTAATTACTAGCATTGTTTCTTTTCTGATTAGTGTGGACCACTAGACAAGATTGTGTAAGGGTGTGTTTTTTAATTTATATGTATATATTTAACTTCTTCGGGTTATTTTTAAAGGGTTGAGGGGGAGTAGGTTGGGTTTTTTTCTACTTTTTTTTTTTTTTTTTTTTTTTTGCTTGCCTTGCACTACGTGCTTGGATAGTTTGTGGATATAATCATTGACTGGCGACTGGGCTATTGCAGTGCGGGGGGGTTAGGGAGGAAGGAATCCACCCCCACCCCCCCAAAACCCTTTTCTTTTCCTTCCCTGGGTTCGGACATTGGAGCACTAAATGAACTTGAATTGTGTCTGTGGCGAGCAGGATGGTTGCTGTTACTTTGTGATGAGATCGGGGATGAATTGCTCGCTTTAAAAATGCTGCTTTGGATTCTGTTGCTGGAGACGTCTCTTTGTTTTGCCGCTGGAAACGTTACAGGGGACGTTTGCAAAGAGAAGATCTGTTCCTGCAATGAGATAGAAGGGGACCTACACGTAGACTGTGAAAAAAAGGGCTTCACAAGTCTGCAGCGTTTCACCGCCCCGACTTCCCAGTTTTACCATTTATTTCTGCACGGCAATTCCCTCACTCGACTTTTCCCTAATGAGTTCGCTAACTTTTATAATGCGGTTAGTTTGCATATGGAAAACAACGGCTTACATGAGATCGTTCCGGGGGCTTTTCTGGGGCTGCAGCTGGTGAAACGGCTGCATATCAACAACAACAAGATCAAATCTTTCCGAAAGCAGACTTTTTTGGGGCTGGACGATCTGGAATACCTCCAGGCTGATTTCAATTTATTACGGGATATAGACCCGGGGGCCTTCCAGGACTTGAACAAGCTGGAGGTCCTCATTTTAAATGACAATCTCATCAGCACTCTACCTGCCAACGTGTTCCAGTATGTGCCCATCACCCACCTCGACCTCCGGGGAAACAGGCTGAAAACGCTGCCCTATGAGGAGGTCTTGGAGCAAATCCCTGGCATTGCCGAGATCCTGCTAGAGGATAACCCTTGGGACTGCACCTGTGATCTACTCTCCCTGAAAGAATGGCTGGAAAACATTCCCAAGAATGCCCTGATCGGCAGAGTGGTCTGCGAAGCCCCCACCAGACTGCAGGGCAAAGACCTCAATGAAACCACAGAACAGGACTTGTGTCCTTTGAAAAACCGAGTGGATTCTAGTCTCCCTGCTCCCCCTGCCCAAGAAGAGACCTTCGCTCCTGGCCCCCTGCCAACTCCTTTCAAAACAAATGGGCAAGAGGATCATGCCACCCCAGGGTCTGCTCCAAACGGAGGTACAAAGATCCCAGGCAACTGGCAGATCAAAATCAGACCCACTGCAGCGATAGCGACGGGTAGCGCCAGAAACAAACCCCCAGTCAACGGCTTGCCCTGCCCCGGGGGCTGCAGCTGCGATCACATCCCAGGGTCGGGTTTAAAGATGAACTGCAACAACCGAAACGTGAGCAGTTTGGCCGATTTGAAGCCCAAGCTCTCCAACGTGCAGGAGCTTTTCCTGCGAGATAACAAGATCCATAGCATCCGAAAATCGCACTTTGTGGATTACAAGAACCTCATTTTGTTGGATCTGGGCAACAATAACATTGCCACAGTGGAAAATAACACTTTCAAGAACCTCCTGGACCTCAGGTGGCTGTACATGGATAGCAACTATCTGGACACGCTGTCCCGGGAGAAATTCGCTGGACTGCAGAACCTAGAGTATCTGAACGTGGAGTACAACGCGATCCAGCTGATTCTCCCTGGCACTTTCAACTCCATGCCCAAGCTGAGGATCCTCATCCTCAACAACAACTTGCTGAGGTCCCTGCCTGTGGACGTTTTCGCGGGGGTCTCGCTGTCTAAGCTCAGCCTGCACAACAATTACTTCATGTACCTCCCGGTGGCAGGGGTGCTGGACCAGTTAACCTCCATCATCCAGATAGACCTTCACGGGAACCCCTGGGAGTGCTCCTGCACCATTGTGCCTTTCAAGCAATGGGCAGAGCGCCTGGGTTCCGAAGTGCTGATGAGCGACCTCAAGTGCGAGACGCCAGTGAACTTCTTCAGGAAGGATTTCATGCTCCTCTCCAATGACGAGATCTGCCCCCAGCTGTACGCCAGGATCTCGCCCACGTTAACTTCGCACAGTAAAAACAGCACTGGGTTGGCGGAGACCGGGACGCATTCCAACTCTTACCTAGACACCAGCAGGGTGTCCATCTCCGTGTTGGTCCCGGGACTGCTGCTGGTGTTTGTCACCTCCGCCTTCACGGTTGTGGGCATGCTCGTGTTTATCCTGAGGAATCGAAAGCGGTCCAAGAGGAGGGATGCCAACTCCTCAGCGTCCGAAATTAATTCACTGCAGACAGTCTGTGACTCTTCCTACTGGCACAATGGGCCTTACAACACAGACGGGGCCCATAGAGTGTACGACTGTGGCTCTCACTCGCTCTCAGACTAAGTCGCCAGCCCTGAAAGGGGAGGGGAGCCCGGAGGCGACGCACCCTCCTCCCCTGCCGCCAGCATCCAGGGGCTGCGGGAGCGTTGACCCAAATCTAAACGTGCCCTGAGTCTTGACGGACATAAGTAAATAAATAACTGCGAACTCGCTCAACCGAGAGGGGCTGACCCCTTCTCTGTCTCCTTAAACAAAGAGCAGACTGTGGCAGCTGGGAGAGCGCAACTTGCTCGCTCGTGAATCTGAGCTCCTTTTGACTGAAAGCCCAGCATGGGCCAGCCCAGAAGAATTTACAGTGCTCTAACCTTGGGAGGAAGGACCCGTGGGTTTGGCCCCCGCGACGCTATACATATATACATATATCCACATATCCACATCTATATAGAGAGATAGATATCTATTTTTCCCCTGTGGAGAGCCGGGTGATGGCTCCCTGCCGGCTACGCAGGGATGGGAAGTTGCACGAAGGCATGAATGTATTGTACATAAGTAACTTTGACTTCTGACAACAAAACAGAAACAAAAAGTGCTGCATGGCTCGCATGGAACCCACGCGCTCCAGGGACTCTGTCCGCCCCTCCCCCTCCGCGACAGGAGATGGCCTCTCCTCCACACCCTCTTACCTGATAAGTCCCACCGTAGAAAACTTTCTATAAGCAAGATGCAGTATAATCAGAAAGTGCCATTTCGCCATTATTTGTGATTGGTAGGCAGTTCAGAGCGTATGTTTACTGTGAAAAAAAATGTAAATGTTTTATTTAAGACATTTGCATGGCTAGTCATCCGTCCATTTTATGAGTTAACAATGTATTTTGTTAAGGGAAGTTTTTAGGGGTTGCTTTTGGTTCTTTTATTTTAATGGTGATGTTTTATTTTATTTTATTTTTTTGAGGGGGACTATTTTTCTATACATATTCCAATAATGCCTTCCATCTGAATGTAAAATAAGTACCCATGATTTCTATTATAGCACCAGTGTAATTATTAAAAAAAAAAAGATTTTGAGGCAGTTAAGCATGACCAATTAATGTCATTCTAGTGCTTAGGCTGCGATCTTATGGTAGCAATTCTGTGCTGGTATAAATCTTACTTATAAAGTAGGAAAAAAGAACCGAGGAAGCACGTGAAACTTACTAATTCTATTCGAGGATTTTATAATGGCATATTTTTTCAGTATTAAAGTGAAAATGTTTTCAAATCTGGGTCCTTACATTTTTCCAGCTTCATTTTTGCAACTGATAAATCGGGTGTGCAGTGAAAGGGATGGGGGGAGGGGGAGGGGGACGGCCGGGGCTGGGTCTCTTCTGGCGCTACCCTAAGGTTCTTTCTCTCTAAGCGCCTTAGCCTTTTGCCTTTTTCATAGCTCCTCTCCCCTCAGTCCCTCAACCCTGCTTAGAGTTCACAGGCTTTCCCCAGTCCTTAAAGTAAGGTCTTCCCCCACCACACTCCCCTCCCTTTCTCCCACTCTCCTAATGCGGCAGTGAATCGCTTTTATTAATACTGGAAATCCCTCACTGCTGCTTTTGTTGGTGCTGCCCACACTGCAGATATATTAAGGATGTTAGAAGAGATTTGATTTAATTGACTTTGCCTGGATCGGTCTCATTAAACAGAGTGGAGATTTCATTGGTCAGCACTCCCCGATGAAAGACAACCCTAATGACAGGCATTTGAGATGCTGCTGGCATTTTAAATTCAACATCTGCTGAAAATGGTAAAACTAATTAGTGCCCACCCACCCTCCCCGCCCCAGCAACTGCATATTGAAATTTGCTGAAGTACTTATCTTTATGGAAATCAATCATTACCCTAAAGAAGTGTTTCTCTCCCATCATCCAGATTTCTGATTGGGTCCCCATAATTAACAAGAAAAGCATCGAATTATTTGAGTTTTATGAACCAATGTAATACTGCCCTCAATCATAATCCTCTGAGGTTTCTAAGCAAGTCTATTTTTACCAGCAGTTAGGCTATGAAATCACATGTGTGGAAGGGGTCTGCATTTCACCACATATCCAACCTTGAGAACTATGTCAAAAGAATACAGGACACTCACACACACACACACACACATACACACACACACACACAGACACACACGGTGGGATTAAAGATGAGATAATGAAATCCCCTGGAGCAGTCTTAAGTAGATTTGTCATCTAGAACTTATATTTTAAAAGGAGTAATTTCCCAGAATACTGATGTTCTTCAGTATGTATTATTTATTTTAACATTTTTAAAATAAAATCTTTATTATAAACCATGACAATTTCTAAAGCCATTCATCATTTTCTCTTTTGATTATTTTGTTGTGGACTGCATTTCATGATGGTAAAACCGTGGTCTAGTATGCTGGAATAAGTATTATCAGTTATTTTTACTTATATTTTACATGAAGTGTCAATACTTATTGAAATATCACTTGGGTGTCTTATAGATGGAAAAAATGTGGAAGGGCAAGAGTCATATATTCAACAATATATAACCTTAAGAAAAAGAAAAGATGGCAGATACATAGACCAGTATTTGTTGGAAGGTAACTTTGGTGAGAGATATCTAGTGAGGCATGATAGTTCATTTTCAAATACAATGCATGGTTCATCTACAGGAGGAAACTTGAACCTTTCATAGAAGGTTTGCACAGGGGGAATAACTTTCTTTATCCAGTTAGAAAAAACTACTCTCCAGCAAACAAGTTTCAAGGGGTAAAATCATTTTTAAGATAGGAGCTTCAATGATCTTTAAATAATTATTGTGTGCCAGACATGTGCTAAGCAGTTTACATAATTATCTAATTTAACCTTTAAAATCACAGGGGAACTTATTAAGATACTGCTATTCCATTGTATAGATGAGAAAACTGAGGCTAAAAGAAAATGTGCAATAATTCATATCTTACATGGCAAAGAGGGAAGTGGCATTTAAATGTAATTCCTTCATAATTCAAAACCTTTTTTAGGTGGAGTGACTATACATCAGTATCTCAAAGCAGGCTATTTTGAAAAAAAATGAAAGTTAGAAAAATAGTACTCTATATACCAAACTAGGAACCTAGGTTGTATCTTCCCAGCCAAGTAGGAACTGGTTTCTCTTTATCATTCCAATACGTCTTACACAAAAAAACTTGTTCTTAGTTCAGTGATGCTAAATTTAGTGTGCTGAGTGTAAAGTGAAACATAGGAAAATTGATGAGTATGCTATTTGAAGTCATTAAAATCATTCATTTCCTGTGTTCAAATCATTATCTCCAAATAATATGTATATCATATATATCATGTATATGATATATATACATAAATTCTAAAACAAGGGCCATCAGACTATTTTAATAAATCTTAAAAATTCATGTAGAAATTATGTCCAATGATTTCATATAAAAAGTATGTATTATTTAGACCTACACAGTCTCATCCATTTTGATAAACCATCTCACCATATCTGGCACAGACACACACACACACACACAACACACACACACAAGACAGATATGTTTTATTAACTTCAATATAAATATTTAGTGTACAAGACAATAAAGGATGTGATCTCACCATATATAATCACTCAGAAATTCTTAGCATCATTTGTTTTTGTTCTACCTGTATATAAAATGTACTGTAATCGTCATGTGTATTGGTTGAGATATTTTGTTTCTAGGTAAATTCTTTCTAAATTCAGCAAAAAATGATAAATGGATTTTAGCTGTACACAATGGAAAAATGAAGAAATAGAAACAAGATATTTTTCAAGAAAGCAGTACTTTAAGTGGATGCTGATATAATTAAGAGCATTCTAGAACTTATATTGTTGATATAAAAGTGTATTATTTAATTGTCAAAAAAAGGAATCATTGATTTGACATTAATATAGCAAGAACCTTTTAAAAATTATTTATATTTGGTGTCAATAATGTTATCAGACATTTTAATAAGGGTTAAAATTATATTGGTGACTTCAAGGACAGTTTGTTAGTTCAGCTTGTGGATTAAGCCCAAGTAAGTGTTATTTTCTATGTACAGAGTGATGGGGAAATAGGGAGGACAAGCATAGAAAAGTGCGTCTGAGTTGGCAGAAGATAAAACACGGAGGTTTTTAACTCAGCATTCTTCCACGTGATTCATAACCATTACTTTATTTTTGCATGTTTATTTGAAGAAAATGAAAACATAGAATGTGCCAAAGATTTAATTTTAGTATGTATTGGTTAATTTTTACTTTTATTGAATCTTCAAAATGCAATTATTGTATTTAAATGGTAGACGCCATCAACTGAGACAAGTAAAATCACACTCATTTTAAAAGTTACATCATTTACTGTAATGTATCCCAGGACTAAAAAGAAGGAGTCTAAGTTGAATAGATTTTCTATAATTCCATGACACTTGCTTTCATCTACAATGTTGCTACAATGTTATTTTCAAAAATTGCATGCAGGATGTGAAGAACTTTCTGGTGTTAATACCATTTATTGATTCCATGAAAGCATGTACTACAAACATGGAAATTCTAAAATATAAACCTGTATTGACTCTGCCATAACCTATCAAAATTTGAATTGCTTTCAGAAAAAAATTGAAAAATAAACAGATTATACATCTAAGGTGTATACTTTTAAAATAAAACAGGCCCCTAAGAAATCATTTTAGATATTCTTCAAATCTTTAAGCCCAACGTGACCCTTTTACCTCAATTTGCTGGCAATTTTGGGTCATTGGTTTAGACCTTAATTGTCCAATTATTTAGTCATTTTTCACTTACTTTCTAAGTATATATTATATTATATTCTTGAAATTAAATTATATTTGCTATTTGAACACTACATAAAGCTTACTGGACAATTATATAGTAGGTAAAAGAATTTTGAGTGTTTTAGACCTACATATTCCATTAGCAACATTAACTCAGCTAGTACTTCATAAAGAATACAGTTGTTCTTTGCGATCTTTGAAGGTTAACCCCAGGATCTCCTCACAAAAGCTAAAATCCATGCATGCTCAAGTCCCTTAAAAAAAAATGTTATCAGATTTGCATATAATCTAGACATATTCTTCCATTCAGAAATAGCTACATTATTTCTGATACCAAATGCAATATAACTATGTCAATAATTGTCATATGTATTGTTTAGGAAATCATGAGAAGCAACAAAGAGCTGTATATGTTCAGTAGAGATGCACTTCTTTTTGATACAGGCTTTGACTACATATATATATATATATATATATATATATATATATATATATATATATATATAGCTACCTGGCCTTAAACTCCTGAGCTCTAGTTGCCCTCTTGACTCGACCTTCCTGTAGCTGTGATTTTAGGACTTCACTAGCAGGGCTGGGAAGATGCAAATTTTGAAAACA